AGAGTTTTCCTCGCATGTTCCACAAGCACAGCAATTGCCTCTGTCTGAATATTTGATAGGGTGAGCCATGGGAGTTACAGAGATAATTTGAGTCTAATCATAATTCACTTCATTAAATGTTAAGTCAGCAAAATCTTAAGGGTTTTTTTTGACACCAGTCTTCAAAACGTGGGCATACATGTAAGTTTAACAACTCATCTTCCAAATAAAAGAATTTCTTCATTTGTCAACTTTCTCATGAGTACAGAAGGAACAGATTTTTTTTTTTTTTTTTGGTACAGGGGTTCGAACTTGGGTCCTTGTGCTTGCAAGGCAGGCAGCAGAACCACTGAGCTAAATCCCCAGCCTGGAACAGATTTATTTAATCACATTTTATAAATGCTCTTATATTTCAGACCATTCAATAAATATGACATTCAATTGTATGATTTATGATGTATACAATTTGTCATATTACTTATTTATTCATTTTTTTTGGTTTTTTGAGACAGGGTCTCACTATGTAGTTGAGACTGACCTGGAACTCACTATGTAGCCCAGGCTGGTCTTGAACTCACAGTGATCCTCCTGCCTCAGCCTCCTGAGTGCTGGGATTACAGGCGTGTGCCACCACACCCAGCTTGTTGTGTTTGTTTTTTTTTTTTTTGGTTTGTCACATTACTTATGAATGATTATAAATTTGAAGAGTTTACTAACACATATTCCTCAGAATATGTGCCTTGTGGACAAATCCACCATTCTTATATTACCCATATTAATCTGGGAAATTATATATATATATATATTTCTGGGAGCTTATATAATGACAAAGGTTGATTTTTGAGACATAATTCTGTACATTAGTTTTTTTGGGGATACTGGGGATCGAACTCAGGACCTTGCACTTGTAAGGTAGGTACAGTACAACTAAGGTAAATTCCTGGTCCCAGTACAATGGTTTTTGGGAAGAAAAAAATAATTTCAATAATAGAAGAAAAATATAATAAAATCAAACAGATTTTCATGATTTACAAAATAATCACAAAAGTTTTTAAAGAATTCAGACTAAGAGGGATCTTACTTCCACAAATAGTCCTTACAGAATCCTAAAGAAATCATCACATTTCACTACTTAATATTGAAAGCAAGAGTGAAAACAGAATTATGAATAACAGCCCCACTAAGGGACACATTTATAGTCCGGGCTCATATAATGTTTTCAACAAAAAATACAAACGTTTATTGGAAATACATATAATTGATATTATTTTCAAATGATAGTAATGGAGCTATCAAATTCAGGTAAATTAATAAGTTGATAATTACATTTAGTGAGAGCTGCATTATAAGTATTAAAACCTTACTTCTACATCTAACTCATGAAGCATTCATGGAAAACATCTTTGTAAATGAGGGAGGTAACAGTTGTTTATTCTATGTTTTATTGCCACGTGTTGCGGTGTGCGGTGATTACCACCTCATGAACAGTTTCACACATACACAGATTTCGTAGCTCTTTTTCCTGCCCCATCCTCTTTGGCCCCACTCCCTCCATCCTTTGCAAAATATCTATCTCTCAACTTTTTATTATCTTTTATTTTGTACTCTATTTCTATTTTGGGTTTCTCACGTAAGAAAAACTAGGTGACATTTAAACTTTCATGCCTGACTTACCTCGTTTCCCACTTTGGTCTGAAAGTGCAGTCGATTTCTTACAGATGGTTCAAGTTTGTCCTTTCTGACAGAGAAGTACTCCACTGTGTTTAAATACCACATTTTCTTAACTTTTTTTTTTTTTTTTTTTTTTTTTTTGAGACAGGGTCTCTCTCTGTAGTTCAGGTTGGTCTTAAAGTCACTGTGCAGCCGAGGCTGGCCTTGGACTCATGGCCATCCTCCTGCCTCAGCCTCAGGACTGCTGAGATTACAGGCATGTGCCATCACACCCAGCAAAACACTACACTTTCTTCATCCATTTATCATTAGTGAACAGATAGGCAACTTCTAAGATTTAGGTATTATGAGTTGTGCTGCTATAATCATGGGCATGCATGTATCTCTATAAAAGGGTGTCTTCCTCTTCCGGGAAGATACCTAGAAGGGCAAGACCTAGGTCAAATGGAATTTCTATTTGTAGTTTTTTAGGAATCTCCATACCGATTTTCATAGTGGTTGTACTAATTTACATTCCCTTCTTTATTTCTTTTATTTTTTGGTACCTGGGACTGAATTTGGGTCCTTTCACTTGTGAGGCAGGTGGTAGAACCATTCAGCTAAATCCCTGGCCCTATTTCTTTTATTTCTTTCTCTTATCTGATTGCTTTGGCTCATGTTTCGAATATTATATTGAATAGGACTGGAGACAGTGGACATTCTTGTCTTCTTTATAATTCTAGATGGAAAACATGCAGTTTTTCACCCATTTAATACGATGTTGGCAGTATGTTTATCATAAATGTCTTTCATGACATCAAGGCAATGTCTTTCTGTACCAATTTTCTTTAAGGTTTTATCATGAATGGTTGTTGCATTTGTCAAAGGCTTTTTATATGTCTACTGAGGTGATAGTGTGATTGTTTTCCTTTCTTCTGTCTCTGGGATGCACACATTGACTGATTTGCAAATGTTGAAACATCCTTGCATCCCTGGAATGAATCTGTTGGTCATGATGTCTGACTCTTTTGATGCTTTGTTACATTATTTGACAATATTTTATTTTAACTGGGGATCAAACTCGAGACCTTGTGCTTTCGAGGCAGGCGTGGTGCCACTGAGCTAAAGCCCTGGCCCTTGCCAATATCTATTGAAGGTTTAGGTGCATTGTTTTTTGTTTTGTTTTTTTAAAAAAAGAAATTGGCTTGTAGTTCTCTTTCATGGTTGAGTACTTTTCTGGTTTTGGAAGCAGGATAATGCTTGCTTCCAGAAATTGTGTTAGGCAGTATTCCTTCCATTTCAGTTTTATTAAAGTGTTTGAGCACTATAAGTTTTAGATCTACTCTGAAGTTCTTATAGAATTAGGGTGAACAATTGGTTCCTTGGCTTTTTTAGGCGGTAGGTTTTAAAAATTCTTGCCTTGCTGGGGATTTAGCTCAGTGGTACTGCTATCTGCCTTGCAAGCACAAGGACCCAAGATTGATCCCTTGTGAAAAAAAATATATCCTCAATTTCATTGCCTGTTATTGTACTATTTGATGTTTTTTATAAAATGTTCAGTTTCAGTACTTCATACACAGCCAGGGATCTATTCATTTCTTATAAATTCTACAATTGTTTGGAGTAAAAATTGTCAACGTTATGACTAATGATCTTCTGAATTCTGGCAGTGTCAGTTGTGATTTCACCTTCTTCATTTCTCATCCTATTTAATTATGTATTTTCTTTGTATTTTGGTAAGGATCACTAAGGGTTTCTCCATTTTGTGTATTTTTTCCAAAAAATTGTTATTTAAACTATGAGTTCTTTGTCCTTTATTTACTCTCAATTTCATTAATATCTCCTTTTACCTTTATAATTTTCTCCCTTGTTTTAGGGTTTTCTTGTTCTTCCAAGACCTAAATTTACATCATTAGGTTATTTGGAGTTTTCTGTTTTCGCATTCTGGGCATTCACAGCTGTAAACTTCCGCCTTAGGACCCCTTCATTGTGTCCCATAAATTCTAGTATGTTGCACGGGATTATCACTTGAATCTATGAACTAATTTCTTCTTTGCCCCATTGATTATCAAGATTGTGTTCTTTAGTTTCCATGTTTTGGCATAAAACAAAGAACCAAAATTAGAAATTCCATAGGACCTTGCTATCCCCCTTCTACATATTGCCAACGGGCTAAAGATATCATACTAGCGACTAATGCATAGCAGCACAGTTTGTAATAGTTAAACCCTGGAAGCAGCCTGTATACTCATCAGCAGATGAATGGATAAAGAAGATGTATCTATGCACAATGGAATACTACCCAGCAATAAAGAAGGGCAAATTCGAGACATTCATAGGAAAACTAATGCACCTGAAAAATATGGTGAGTGAAATAACTCAGACACACAATCTTGCTTTGTATATTCTCATTAATTATTTCACACCCGGTTCTTTTATTACCTATAAAATTTATAGATTTTGTTTCTTAGAAGAACTTAATTTCATTGTATAAAAATTATCTTGAGAATTACTTACTGGTACAGTTTCATGTGAGTGAATTTAGCTACCAACAACTAACAGCTTGACTTTTTTCTTCTCATTATACTATGTCATGTATGTATAATTGTAATTCATTACTTTCATCTGATTTGTTTCTCTCACTTGCAAATAAATATCTGAAAAAATGGTAAGTCACTAGTATTTCAAGAAATGTAAATTAAAACAACACTGAGATTTCATCTCACTTCAGAAACAACGGTTATTATCAAGAAAACAACAAATAACAAATGCTGGCAGTGTCGTGGGTGAAAAGACACTAGACCCTTCTCCGAGGGAGTGTAGACTGGTGCAACCACTGTGGAAATCAGTGGGGAGATTCTCAAAACTCTAAAACTAGAGGTTCTCTTTGAGCCAGCTATCCCTCTTCTTGGTATCTTCTGAAAAGTAAAGACATCATACCACATAAATATGCCCACCCATGTTTACAGCAGCACAAAACTTGGAAACAACCCAAAGGCCCAACAACTGATAAATGGATACAAATGTCATTTCGGAACATACAGCGGAGTATTATTCAGCCATAAAGAAGGATAAAGTTGAGACATTTTCCAGTAAACAGATGTACCTTGAGACCATACTCTCAAGTGAAATAAATCAGGCACACGTGTTTAAATATTGCATGATTTCTCTGCTGTGTGAAACTAAAAGTGTAAATAAGAACCAAAACGTGGAATAGATATTGAGAAATGGGGAAAAAAAGTTCAAATGAGAAGGGGAACATAAAAGGGGGTGGGGAAAAGGAAAGAAGGGACAAGAAAAAAGAATATAAGGAAAAATGGAAACAAAGCTTTTGTAAATAAGGAGGGGTAAAGGAGCCGAATGGAGGGGAGGGGATGAGAAAAACAGTAGGAAGCAAGATATATCACGTTCAGGCACAAATTCCCTATGACGAATGTTGTCATTATGTAAATCTGAAATGTGCCAATAAATGTTTTGCTTTAAAAGTAAAAGAGGAGACAGCTTCTCTCCTCTGAAGAACAAAAATAAAGTCTCCCTTTGGAGTCACTGAAATATCCTGGAAATCTGCTCGCATTTCATATCCGAGCAGTTCCTCGTCCTTTCTCCTGCCCAGCTGGAGTCCGATCACTCTATGCTGTCTCGAACTAGAATCCCTCTTTAACCTGATGTTGCCCCCGCAGTAATGCCCCGTCCAGGACTGCTGTCCTGCTCTTCGGTTGCAAACTCCCACCATCTCAAGGAGCTCATAATCCACCTCATTCCCACTTCCCAGGGCCAACCCTCATTGCAGTGATCCCTATAATGAGGGCTGTGCCCTGATTAGACACAACCGTTCTTCATGTGCAAAAAGTGCCATGAGGAAGTTTTTCTTTGGCACGTTTCAAAAGATCCCTGACCTCAACCATTCAATCCTGCAGACCTCTGGCTAAGAAACAAGAGTCAGCAGCAACCATCAGAATTAGTCTGTACACTACACAAACAGCATGAAACGTTCTGGGCAACTATGGGGAGAAGGGCGTGCCAGGTGTAGGGACACATCTTGCGTGGACAGCATACTGGGAGACTGAGTGAGGTAAGATGACTGCTAGAGCCCAAGACATCGCTGCCAACCTATGCAACAGAACAAGGCAGGAAACTATCTAGAAACAAAAATGATAAGCAAACAACAAGTACACAGGAAGGAATATGAGGTGAACACAGAGATTTTCTATGTTACAAAGATGCCTCCATTCTTAACCCTGAAAGCTCAGCTCCCAAATGTGGGCAGCTTCCAAGACAACACTTGCAATCCTCCCATCTGACAAAAATCATCGGCAGTCATTGTTTCTGTGATACCTACAATAAACTGTGCACAGATCTATGGAGGTGTGCACGGTGAGGACAGGATAGGGAACCAGAGGGCATTGTGCTTTCTGCACACAGACAGCTTCAGAATGATCAACCCTGATAATAAAGCAGAAAATGAATAAATGAAAAAGACTCTGCATGACAGCGAAGTCCTTGGCAGGCTTCACGTTACGAGTGCCAGTGATATGTACAGGGAAAAAAAGGGAAAAAGACCCCAGATCATCACAGCTCCATCCTCCCACACCCTGGTGCTCCTTCTGAGAAGGCAGTCTTTGCTAGCTACAGAACAAACTAGAAGCAGAAGCTGCAGGGAGAAGATGATGGCAATCAAGGGGAACACCCTAGAAATGTACGCAAAGCTGGTGGTCTGAGAGAAGGGGCACTTGCAGCGGCAGCCAGGCAAATGCACTCAGCTCACCCTGAGTGTGCATTACGGTTGGACAGGGACGGAGGCTTTCGTGACTGACTCCTTTGAGTTTGGCCTGCTCCATGCCCCTGGAGGAATTCTCCATTTCCTGCACAGCTCTGCACCTGGGAGCCGGTGTCCAAGCGAAAAACAAAAGTTAGGAAATGATCGAAGTTCAACTTCGGCACCTCCAGGCACCATTATTCTATCCAAGTCCAAGTATAACGAGCTTCCAGAAGCCTCATCTTCTGAAGGTTTTGTCTCGAGCCAAGGGCAACAGGCCACTGGCATTGGGGATGACACAAGGGGACTGCACCGGGCGAGTCAGCGCTGGGAGTTCTGAATCAGCAGGGACTGCCCATGTTCAGGTGTGGGCAGTGAGCACCCTGTCCTCAAACGCTCAAGGCAGGGATTGGCAGCCTTACAAAGGCAGGGCTCACTGCAGCCACAGCCCAGTCCCTGCAGTGCCGTGGCTGTCTGCACCCTGCGGCTGTGAGCTGTCTCCCAGCCCCCTCCGCTCGCCGTCCCCGGGGAACCTGCACTTCCACTGAGTCCGGAAATTCCCAACTAGCTACCCTGGGTCCGTACAGAAATACATCGCATTCCTGAGCTCTGAACTTTAACCCTCTTCCCACTGTCAGTTCTTCCAAGCACGCAGACCCCTCTGTTTAACAGGTTGTGGCGACCCGTGTCTACACCTACAGCCTCGACCCCTTCTCATACTCGTACGACAGTACAGGGCTATGTAGTAAGTTATTCTGTTTACCTAGATTCAGTGAATAAAACTGGAATACACGTTTATATTTTCCACACTAGATACTGTGAGCGGGGGTCATATGGGCAGACCTTACTGCAGGACTGTGGAGTCTTCAAAGCAGGAGAAGCGATTACCTATCATTCTGCAACGACTGAATACATTTTGTATTTGCCAAAATCTAAACAATGTTCAGCACAAATAGTGAAAGCTACGATAAACTTGGTCTGTAACGCCCATACGTCAATATTGGCTCCTGAATTGTGATAGGCAAATTTGAAGCAGATGAAGGAGATGAGAAGAGGGAAAAGTGGAACTACATTTCACCTTAACTATTATAAACTTAAAACAAAAAATAAAGGCACTCAATTTTAAAGGAAGCATAAGTCACCAAATTATTAGATGCTTTCCTGTGTCAACTGAGCATTTGAAAGCTAGCTAGTTCAAAGTTTCAAAATTTTGTATGAAAACATGACTGTGTAATATTCCAACAATAATTTTAATATTAAGTACACGTCAAGGTTACAATACATTGTATGTGCAGGTGTTATTACATTATATAAGTGACTTCAAGATGAGGGGCTTACACGTCTGTTGACACGGACACTGCAAGACCTTGTTATCCACCTGCCTCAGCCTCCCAAGTAGCTGAACTGCAAGTGTGTGCCACTGTATCTAATTTACTTGTAAGGCTTTTATTCAATTCTTTATTGTCATGGAGCATCTCTGTACCTAGGAACATTCTTAGCTGTGCCTTGCTCTGGACATGTGAGCTAACTTCCTAATTTCCCCAATGTATGCGGGTAGTTTTACATTTACTAGTCCTTGTGTCTGAATCCCAAAAAGAGAAACAGAAAAATGAAAGTGGGTGCCCCATGCTTAGTACCTACTTGGGAGGCCGGAGAAGGTTGCTTAAGGCCAGCATGAGTGACTTAGTGAGCTTCTATTTCAAAATAAAATAGGGAGAGGTTGGGATGTAACTCAGAGCACCCTGGATTCAAACCTCAGTAATACTGGGTGGTAATGAGAATGAAAGAATAAACTGAAAGTGACCAGCATGTTCATTTCTCTGAAAATCACATAGGTGGAAAGCACAGGATTTCTACCAATGGGAAGAGGAGCAGCAAATAAGAACTCCTCATTGGTAACAATTAGGAGTACAGCTTACCATCCTGCAGGACAGGGCATGTGTGTGTGTGTCTCTGAGGACTGTATCTAGGGTGTAGTGCAGCAAGGGCTCCACCACTGAGCTGTACCACCAGCCCCTCTTATTTGAGACCAGGTCTCCCTAAATTGCCCAGACAGGCTTCAAACTCATAATTCTCATGCCTCAGCTTCCTGAATGCCACAGCTGAATGAGCAGGCGAGCAGCTGAGATTGCGGGCACGGGCCAGCAGGCTCAGCATGACACGGTTCTTTCTGCCTAACCTGAATCCATCAGCTACCGGCAAGCTGTTCCTGGAGGTCATTTGTTGGTGTCTTCGATGCAACTGGGAACGCGGGTGGGAAATTGTGACTATTTGGAATTTACGAAAATTAGGTTTAATTTGCTATTTAAACCTTTCTCTGGAAATGGAAGGCCATCAGAAACTTGAACCCTCATATACCTATATCAGACTCTACCAGCAAAATTGTTGTCCAGGTGGAATGACAGATTTCCTGTAATTCCTATGCTGCCACACTCTTTAAATCTTAGGCCCTGCCCTTTTAAATTAATATATAACTAAGGTCCCATCTCAAACGTCACCTACCCAGCAGGTCTTCTTACTTTTTTTGTTAACCATACTGCTATGTGCAGTCTTTTTTTTTTTTTTTCACTGTTTCAGAATCATGGAAATATCGCTGTACCATTGGTTTTATTGCTTCCTTAACAATGTATTAAGTCATAAAAGAGTAAAAGCAAATTTGAATAGTTTTGTTCTCACTTGTTATTCCACACACAATGAAATCTTCCAAAACCCTCCTCTGAGCTTTTTCCAGAGAGATGAAGACAAGGCAGGTCCCTTTTGTCAGAAGGACCTGAACACCTGCACATCTTCACTGGGGTGTGGATTTCTCCGGGCTGCGCTGGGAACCCTCCCCCCAGCGTTACCGCAGCTGATGGTCAGTGGAGAATATTCCGTGGGCCCTGAATGAGCAGGTGACGCGATACGTTAGGGGGAACAGAAGCAAGTGACACGGAGCTGGTCCTCACCCACGATCTCATAATCTATCCTGAGAAGGATTTTAAATGAACCGTTTAAATCGGGAGATCTGAGACTCTCAGATGGGTACATCCCGGGGAGACTTGCAGCACTCTAAAGGGATGCTCTTTACACAGGGTTTAGGATTCCGCCACACCAGGGCCTTGTGTGACTGCCTTGGCACGACTGTGATGGCAGGAGACATTTTGATTCCCAGGCAACTGTGAACTGTGACGGTCAGGGGAGCCTGTGGAGGTTAGAACGCGGAGACTTCACTTGACTAGTTGTTTCCTCTGACCTTGCCAAGTCACCTCACAAGAGCGTGCTGCCATCTTTTTCTTCTCAAAGGTATTAATAATTTGCCAGTTTTAAAGTCCATACGAACTCTCTTGGCATTTTCCTCTTGTACTTTATGGAAGAACACAGCAAGCACCAGTTAGAACAATGTGATTTGAGATGTTTGCTCTACTAACTCCAGGAGACAATGTCCCTCATGTGACTCTCAGGGCACTGAAGGAAGGAAGTTTCCACACAGGCTTGGGGTCAGAGTTAAGTCCTCAGGTATCCCTACCTCAGCTCTAGGGAGCAGTCTACTCCAGGCTCCACTTTCATCAGCTCGTCTGTGCAGATGGGTTCGGTTTTCCTTGTGACCTTGTGTGAACCAGGCTGCTTGTATAAGCCAGTTCAAACGTTGGCTTATTTTCTCCCTGGATTCCTTGTAGAATGTTGCTGCTGCACAATCACTTTTTCTGCATGTATTTAATAACTGCATTCCCCTACTTGCTTCTTGTTATTGTCGAGGTAAAATGTGTACATCGATAGCCAAGGTGTGAGAAAGTCCTGGCCGTGATATCAATGGCCTCATCCCAAATCCCTGCAGGACAATGTCGGGCCCCCTCTCGGTCCCACAGGCCTGGGTTCCCCTCTTCCCTGAGATGAGGGTTTGACTTTGACTGGATAGGTAGTCTCTGTCCCACTGGATATCCGACAGAAGTAGCAAGAAAAGCACAGGTTTCTTAAAGTGAAAGAACTCTCTGCAGAGCAGGAAAGAGCCAATACCTGAGTCCAAAAGTGAGCCTGACTCAGGGTGGCCCTGTCTGCTTTGGTCCTGAGGTTTTCATGAAGGCTTCATTTGAACCTTGGGGTCCATGGTGGTATCAAAGTGGGGCTTTTCTAATTCACGTTACGGCTTGTGTCTGGATGTCCCCCCAAAGCTCTGGACCGACCCGCTAGCCTCCAGGAGACTCTCACTGGCTTGCTCCCATCCCACAGACTGTGCTTGCCCACGCGGCAGGTCTCTAATCGTGCTGCTCCTTTTGAGTGTCCTCTCACTTCTTCACTCAGGACATCAAGAACCCAGAGGAGACTCCTGCTTGGCGACAGCAGCAACACAGCTTTACTGACGTGAAAGCACACTGTCCAGGACAAAGCAGCATCAGTGCCTCCCTGGGGTCTCTTCAGGGAGCAGGCTGCTCCAGCCCACCGTGAGCCCCTCTGGTTAGGGTCCAAGAGGAAATGGGTGATAGATACAAAAAGGACGGCCATTGGCTGGGGATTGAGCTCAGCGGCACATTGCCTGCCTATCTGAGTTCGATCCCCTCTACCAAAAAACGAAACGAAACAAAACAAAGAATTGCCACTGTGTTCCCACTTTGTTCTTTTGCAGCAGTTCACCCTCCTGTTGTAGGGTTAACCGCTTTTCCTTTTACTTGGCCCAAACTCACTCTGCAGAGCCTGTTTCTCTTCTTAACTTTAATGAATGCAAAACTTTGCTACCGTTTGTTAGAATGAGCCCCAGACTTAACCTGTCAGAGCCAGAAAGAATGTACCTAGACTTGATGAGGCAAAACTTGAAGTTTCCTTCTGCAGAAGGACACTCAGACACGAGGAAGCTGACACTTGAGCAAGGGGAAAGCAGGGTTTTAAATGCATGGGAAGGAGCTGACCTTTTTCCCATTGGCTGGTTGAAGGCTCAGTCTATGCTGATTGGTTGGTTTAAGGATCCTGAAGGATTGCTGAGGGGGAGGAAGAGGAGTGGGTAGGGAGAGGATGTGGGGAACAGAAACTCTTTGGTTATCACTAAATTATCTTTGGTTTGCAGCTAAGTTTCTCAAATTTAGGCATTACCTGTAATTTCAGTGTGAGGGGTGGAGCCAGCTAGGGTGGACTGGAGTCTAAGACAAAGACACTCCTGCTTATATCAATTAAAAAAAAAAAACTAGCAGTTTCTCACACATTCGTGCTTCTCTTACCAATTGTTTGTTCAGGACAGACACAATGGAGCAGTCACCTTTAGAAAAAGACTCCCAACACTCCAAACTGGTAGCACTATCTGTTGGAGGCAGTGTTTCTGTCTTTATGGGGATCTTTGCGGAACTACCCTGGCTTCTAAAGCCCACAGGAGTGGAGTCAAAATCACAGCACAAATGAAATTATAACGCGGAGTCACTTCTGGATGTGCACGATGGCCCACAGTGCATGTATATTCTCCTTGCCAGGTGCTTTAGGAACAACTGGAGTTTTGGAGAGATGTCTTCCTCTTTGACTCTACCTTTCAGGCCCCATTAGGGGCTTTATCCATCTACTTCCTGATTCACTCGGCCTGATCTGGGATCAGCAAGAAACCCTTGGCTTTTCTGAGGGCCTAGGTTGGAATCTGTCCTGTTACTGGCCCTACCCACGTGTGCCATAGCGTCCCTTGTCACTCACAAGGGGAGTTCCAGATCACCGGCCAGTCAGCAGCCCTGTACCAGCCATCCAGTCGTGAGAGGAGACTGAGAGGCATCCGGCTCCATCCAATGCACTTCAGTTATGGTCACCCATGACCTCCTTTGTACCAAATCACCACAGGTGCATAACAATCTTGTAAAGTCCCTCCCAATTTCCCCACTCCCCCTTCCTAAATGCTGTTCTGCTTGTGTAACCTTCCCTGATGTTTGCTTACCAATGATAGAAAGCCCCGGAGATACACAAGAGTATAAAAGTGAGAGCCAGGCATTGTGGTGCACGCCTGTAATCCCAGCACTTGGGAGGCTGAGCCAGGAGGATCACTGTGAGTTCGAGAACAGCCTGGGCTACGTAGTGAGTTTCAGGTCAGTCTCAACTACATAGTGAGACCCTGTCTCAAAAAAAGGAAAAACAAAAAACAAAAAACAAAAAACAAAAACAAAAACAAAAAACGTGAAAGCAAAATTCTGTTCTAGGCTCTTGAGGAGATAGGAGTTCCATGCTAATCTACTGATAATAAAGCTGCTTTTTGCTCCTATTCCATGCCTCAGCACTCTGTCCAGTAACCAACTCTCTCCTGCTTCATTTGGCAAGCCAGCCAGGAGGCTCTGGGGTCTGACACAACCACTCGTGATGGACTGCCTCCCTTGTGGGTGGAACAGGGGACTTGCCTGCTGGATGCCTCTTGGTTCCTGACAGAGACAAGTGGCCTACTTGTCCAAACAGCTAGACAGAGTGGCACAGGGGTGGTCTTTTTGTCTGAGAGCTCTGGTTACAACAGCTGCCCTAATCAAAGAGGCTGACAAACTGACTCTAGGCTAGAACCTGTGAGTGTAAGTCCCCCACACTGTGGTCACCTTTATGAATGCTAAAACTTACCACTGGCTTACCAACTCACGTCTGACCCAATATCAGAGTTTGCTTTGTGGGAGCCCTCAAATCAAGGTGAGAATTTCTAACAACCTAAACCCAGCCACCCTTCTCCCCCAGATGGGCCTCTACATGACTGTGAAGAGGCCATAAAACAGGTCTACTCCAGCTGGCCAGACCTGAAGGACCAACCGCTTCAGCAGCCAGACCTAGAGCTCTTCTTCTATGAGAGAGCAGCCATGTAGACAAGACAGGCAGATGAAGGGCTGGATATTTGATTGTTACCTTAGAAAAGTTCATGGAATCCCGGCCATTGCCTCAAGGGACTTTGGCATAGAGGGCCAAAATGATTGCTCTAACCCATGCATAAGTGTTGGGAAGAGGAAAGAGATTAAATGTATACAGACTCAAAATACACCACCCCAATCCTGCATGTACATGGGGGCCTCTACAGAGAAAGGGCCCTGCTCACTGCAGTAGGTAAAGAGATTAAGCACTCCTAGGACATACTTCAGCTTCTACAGGCAGTCTGGGCTCCCAAGCAAGTCACCATCATCCAGTGTAAAGGATATCAAAGGGGAAAGTCCAAGAAACAGTTAGGCAACAACAGGGTAGCCGAGAACCCAAGGCCACAAGCCTGAGAGCCGAAGGCATTCTTCTCCACTTGGTTTTCTGGGAGAATGATCCCTGTCTTCCCCTGTACCAACACACACCCCTGAGGAAATCAGGCGGGCAACAGCAAAGGAGGAAAATAAGGGACCAGATGGATGGTACTGGCTCCTGGATGATCTGGTTATAGTATCCTTCTACCCAGGACCTTGGTTAGTCCAGGTTCTGCATGACACCACCCAGTGTAAGAGGGAAAATTAGAAACTTTGTTTGGGCTCCACTTCTGTCCCTCAGATGGCAGACCTGATAAAACAAATCACCCAGTGTTGTGTTGTCTGTGCCCAATGCAATTGCAAGATGGCACCAGGGATTGCAGCGTGGATCCAGAAGACAGGGGCTATGCCTTCTGAAGACATCCGGGTCAAATTTACAGAACTGCCCAAGTATGGAGGCATGCGTTATCTCTTGGTTATGGTCTGCACTTTCTTCAACTTGGTAAAGACTTTCCCTTGCCGGACCAAAAAGGCCCCGGAAGTAACCCAGAGGGCGCGACAGGAGATAATCCCCTGCTACGGGCTTCCTTTGACCATGGATCAGATAATGGTCCTGCTTTTGCAGCAACAGTTGTTCAAGGAGTGGCACAGGACTCAGGAATTAATTGGAATTTACACGTGACCTATCAGACCCAGAGCTCAGGAAAAGTAGAAAGAAAGAACAGAACCCTAAAGACAACCCCCATGAACCTTTGTTTGCCAGGCCTCCCTGTATCCTGAGGGGCTAGCCCACCCTACAAGGGCACTGGGATTTGCTCCCTAACAAGACAGTCCAGCTGGGGAAGGTCTTCCAGAAGATAGTTTACTAGAGAGAACCTACCATAGCATTTCTAGCTCTCTTCATCCCTCTGCTCAGGAAGACTCAAACCCAGAGAGTTGGAGAGTCTCAAACCCAGATGGAAGGGCCACTAACAGTCACTCCGACCACCCCATGGCAGTCTGAGTAGATGGAGTCCTTTTTTAGTCCCACCATACTCAGGGAAGAAAGCAGTCACCCCAGAATGGAGGTGTACCAGGGACCCTTGCTACGACACCAAAATCATCCTGACATCCTGACTCGAGAGCAGCTCTCATTGGCCTCCCGCCCAAATGGGGATTCTCCTCTTCCTCACACCAGGGACAGCATTCTCGAGATTGCTGAGACCAGACGGAGAGTCAACAGGAGCAACAGATTACCGCTACCTCTGCACGCAGGTCACATGGACAGGACACTCTGTCATGACAACCTTGCCTTTCCACACCCATTACTCTTGGGATGGGGAAGTTGTTAGGACCTGCACTCACAACCTGACTATATAAGAGATCTCAGGCTGAGGGATGATCCCACCCTCGGCTTCCCAGAAACAGAAGGGAACTGGGAGTTCGAGCTCCTGACTGTGTGCGGTCACAGGGAGAGATGAGGACCTATGAGAGATAAACCCAAGAGGTCAAGGCTTAGTGAGAAGGTAACCTTGTACTGCGATGCCATCACAGTCACCAATTCTGCTGCGGAGAAAAACACTGTCCACACAGCTCGTGGACATGAAGGCCGGGAGAGAGAATACAGTCAGGATGACAAATGCATGTGCTGGAGTGACGGCAGGTCTGTTTATGTTACTGTCAGCCTGTTCAGCTGTCCACACTGGTCATGCATTAAAGGGACAACTGGGCAGTCAGGCTCCCTTAAAGAAAAGAACCTCCTCCACTCTGTAGTTCTGGGACCGGCAACCCACTCTCTCTAAGTATTTTAAAACCCCAAGACCTAAACTGGGAGAAGGGACCAGACTTCGGACTCCAGACAGATGGCAGGGGTGATGACACAGGGGTTCTGATCTGCACCGGAAGGCTCACCTACACGCCTAACCCCTCCAGCTCCCAGGCCGCCCACTGCTTTAATGAGGAGATGCCAACCCTTACCAGAAATTCCTTCTGGGACCCAAAACTGCTTCATGAGTTTAGCAGAGAACATAGCACACTCGCTGAAGGTCACCCTGTGTTGTGTGTGGGCACCCTGATGGAAGACCATTGGGCCATGGTCGGCCACTGAGAATGGGACCCCTCTGAGAATAAAACAGCTGCATCCAGAAAGCCTGCGGAGGACAAGGGCAGAAAACCCTCCCTGAAGGAAAGAAATCCACGGATCCTAAAGACTGGCGTTATTGGGAGGAGTGCCCAACCGAAGGGGTAAAAACTTCCAGGCTCAAGTAGGGGGACTGCCTTTCCTGGGGCAAAGATTCTACAATGAGATCAAAGGAAATACAGAATGGTGGGGAAACTTGGCCCAGTTTCCTGACTTGAGCCCCAGCTGGGAAAACAGAACCGCTCACACCCGCTGCTCAGCCCCGAAGGGCTACAGCGGCTATGAAGACACAGGGCTTATGCCCAGCTCCCATCTAATTGGTCAGGAAGCTGTATCCTAGGAAATGTCCAACTGCCTTTCTCTCTCCCGGCCCTGAGCCAAGGAGAGCCGTTGGGCTATTTCGGGTACACCCCCTCCCACGGAGAAAGGACTGTATCTGCAGGTGTTCGGAAAGACGATGGGTGGTCCCAGAGGGAATAATCCAATATTATGGACCAGCCACCTGGGCCGAGGGTGGGACGCGGGCAGCCAGACTCCCATTTCCATGCTAAACAGACTAAGCTGCAGGCTGCATTAGAAGTTATAAGCAAAGAAAGAAATCTAGCCAAACAGCAGACGAAATTTCCCATTGCTATATTTCACAAGAACCACTTAGCTGCCGACTACCTCCTCGCTAAGGTGGGAGGGGTTTGTGCGAAGCTCAGTTCATCTACTTGTTGCCTCCACAAAGATGATCAGGGACAGATAATAGAAGAAATCTGTAGAAAAATATAAGAAATTGTCCAGGTACCTGTCCAGACCCAGAAGGGACGGAGCCCAGGAGAAATGTTCAGTGGGTGATGCTCCGCACCGGAGATTCAAACCCTGAACGGGAAGAAAATCACTGTTACTACTGGGGCCAGTTTCACCGTCCCTTGCCTACTGCCTATCGCAACGAGGGTCGTAAACACCATGACCTAAACCACCGCGGACCAAAGAGCGGCCCCCGAGTCTACGGGCCGGGGTACCGGCGGACGGAAGAGCGCACCGGGACTCCTCAGGACGCCGGGGAGCCCTGTGAGCGCTCAGGGGAGGAGAGAGCGCGGCTGGGGTCTGGAAAGTCCCGGCAGGACCTCCCGCTCCCGCCCGCCGATGCTCGGAAGCCCCGTGGACGCGCGAGGACGAAAGGGAAGGCGGCCGCACCTGCCTCGCCATCTCAGG